GGAACTATGCAGCTTTTGGCATAAATCCCTCCAGACTTAATTAGAGTAAAATATCACAAATCCAAAATCACGTGACCGCGAAATGGTCTTCATAACCAGCAATAGAAAACAAATTATTTCACGATACCTTTTCAGCAGGTCTGATTGTTGGGGGGAAATTCCAAATAATAATGGTGCATCTTTTGTTGAAATAATGAATGTAATCAAAATAGAGAGAGATAAGTGGAAATGATCTGTCTCACAGGCATGGGAAGTATATTGGGGTTGTTGGTGGTGGAAAAAATGCACTGGTGAAGGGATGGGTGTTTGATCACTGTATGACCGAGACTTAAACCTGAAAGCTTTGTAACTCTTCTCACAGTGATTCAATAAATAAGTAAAAATAAAAGACAAAATATAGTGGATGGAGCCAGAGTGATAGTATAGCAGTGAGGGTGTTTGCCTTTCCCACAACTGACCCGGGTTCAATCCCCAGCATCCCATATGGTCCCCTGAGCAACATCAGGAGTAATTCCTGAGTGCAGAACCATGAGTAACCCCTGAGCATCAATGGGTGTGACCCAAAAAGCCAAAAAAATAAAAATAAAAACATAAAATAGTGGTCAGGGCCAGGAATGTGCTCAGTGGTAGAGCACTTGCCTTGAGTGTGTGAGACTCTGGATTTAATTTCCATACTGAACACAAGAAAATTATCTGCTATGCACTCTTTACAATAGCCAGAAACTGGAAGAAACCTGAATGCCCAAGAACAGATGACTGGTTAAAGAAACTTTGGTACATCTACATAATGGAGTACTATGTAGCTGTTAGAAAAGATGAAGTCATGAAATTTATATACAAGTGGTACAACATGGAAAGTATCATGCTAAGCGAAATGAGTCAGAAAGAAAGGGATAGACATAGAAAGATTGCATTCATCTGGGGAATATAAAGTAACAAAATATGAGATTAATACCCAAGAATAGCTGAGATCAGCACCAGGAGGATTACTCCATAGTTTAGAGGCCAGCCGGGCATTCTAGGGGAAAGGGCAGCTCAGATAGAGAAGGGAGCACCAAATAAAGGATGTTTGGAGGATCCTCCCAGGAGGGGAGATGCATGTTGAAAGTAGACTATGGACTGAACATGTTTGCCACTCAAAGCCTCTTTTGCAGACCACAACACCCAAAAGGAGAGAGAGAACACAAGGGATTGCCCTGCCACAGAGGCAGGGTGGGATGGGGGGGATGGGGGTGGGAGGGATATTATCCATGGTGGTGGAAAATGGGCACTGGTGGAGGGATGGGTGTTTGATCATTGTATAATCGAAACTCAAGCACAAAAAATTGTAAATCTACAACTGTACCTCATGGTGTTTCACTAATAATAATAAAAAATAAATAAATAAATAAATCTGGGGGGAAAAAAGAAAATTATCTGCTATGATGAATCAGGGCTCTTTGGGGACATGACTGATTTCACAGTCAGAACAAAAAGAGTAGGTGAGTCCAAGAACATCATGTATCAAAAGACAAGAGCTCTAATCAAGATGAGAAATGTCAAAAAGACCCAGAAGCTAGTTTGCAGGGGAGCTGCTTTCCAAATCACAGGCATTGTGTTTGTCAAAAGAGATAATAGTACAAAATCACTGTATTTTGAATGAAATAGGAAGCTATCTACTGGAGTGATATAATACATGCACAAATTATGCACGCTCCTCTCCCAAATGCTTTATACCTGGGCAGATGTTACTGTAAGATTTGGTCAAACAAAAAATCATTAGCAGTAGAACTGTCAAAAACTGCTTGTCTCCTGAGAGGTGACAGCAAGAAGGCAGAGCCTCACTTCTGTGCATTCTGAGTCAAAGAAGCACCAGCCCCCAGAGGTCAGGAAAACATTGGATAATCCTTAGGAATGTGATGCATTTACTCATCTCTGGCCTTCAAAGTGTGTAAGTCGTAAAAGCCAAGAACGACCCTGAAGAAATTATCCAGACGGAAGGACACTAAACAGGGCAGCCAAATGTAATGCCGGAGTCTGAATTCATTTTTTTAAATTATTTTTTATTCAGGTACCATGATTTTTAAAAGTAAATTAGGTTTTCTATCCTGAAAAACTAATGGGACAGTTGATAAAATTGAGTGGCATCTGATGATGAGGTAGTAATGTGTCTATGCAACTTCCTGATTTGTATAATATTTTGAGGTTATGTAGAAATTACTCGTGGAAGGATTCTGTTTTTCCCCAGATTGGCAATTTACTTTCAAACTGCTGGGGGGGAGGGGGGAGGGTGTGGATAACCGTTGCACTCTATTTACAAATACTGAAAAATTTGAAATTATTTCACCATCTCTAAGATGTGAAAAGGAGGCCCAAAGTCACTGCAAAGATACTTGTTTTGCAAACATCAAGCCCTGAGTTTGATCCCCAACGCTGCCCACATGTGCAAATGCCATACTGTCAGCCCTACTCTCCGGGACTCCTAGCACCATAAGACACTGTGTGGTCTCTGGGGCAGTCAGGTGTGTGCAGACACTGCAACTCTACTGCACCACCACCAGCAAGTACCAGGGCTGAAAAATATTCCAATCCTACAATGACTCATGGTGAACACTACAGAAAGTGCCCGAGCACCACCACTAAAGAAGTTCAAACCCTAAAGTGCTTGTGTGCAAGCATGATCACGATCATCCTGTTCGTCGATTTCCTTGAGCAGGCACCAGTAACGTCTCCTTCTTCCTAGCCCTGAGATTTTAAAAGAGCCATTTCAATGCTCTTTCAGGATTAGGAGAATGAGACCCATCATTGTTATTGGTATTTGGCATATTGAGTATGACACGGGAAGTTTGCTAGACTGCCGTGCGGGCAAGATACTTTTGGTAGTCCGCCAGGTTCTCCAAAGGAAAAATAAGATAAGATGTCCAGGAGCTGGGTTTTATAGTCTCTGTGTCTTGGCCGTCGATGGGACCAACCTGGTGCTGGCGGCAGTTGGTGGGTGTGATGCCTACCTACTGGAAGATGGGGATCTGGTTGGAGAAGGCCCAGTCCCAATCCGGGTAGGTTTAGAGACCTCAGCCCCGGGACCCGCATGCCTGGGTTCCTCTGCCAGTTCTTTCATGCATGAGGCCCGTCCGGACATGTGGAGAGTGGTCCCAGCATGGCCGTGGCTGGCTCCGGAGGTCCTCAGCTGCTTGGGCTCTGCTCGGGGTGGGGGGGGGAGAGAAACTCAACTCTCCCCCCTCCAAGGGCCCCTGTGGGGACAGCCAGGCGCGGGGGCAAGAGACTCTGCAGGCATCATAACTAAATTGGCAACTCACTCTCCCCCCCCCCCACACACTCTCTATGAGGACCAACACCAATTGTTGGGCTCCCAAGCAACTGCCACAACCAAATGCGGGGGCATCATTGCCAAACATGTGTGACCCCCTATCTTTGTTACAAGATCAACAGGAGGGAAGGAGAAAAGAAGTGGGGAAATGAAGTTTCCTTTGAAAGTTATATTTCATTCAGCAAGAGACCATAAGCAAGAAAAATACAGTCAATCTGTAGCCCTAGACTCTCCCCAGTGTGAAATGAAAAAGCAGAGAAAGAACGTACCAGGAACAATAAGGGAGGCAGGTTATAGAAGCGGAGAAGCCAAGGCAGAGAAAAAAGGATCGCTTCGTCAAAAGTGCTGAGAGATCCCTGGAGTGGGCTCCAGGGAGGGATGGGAGAAGTTTCAGCGGTGGCAGAGAGGATAAGCAGGCAGGGACAAAGGGGCAGAAAGAGAATCAAGGTGGGTTGGAACAATAGCACAGCAGGTAGAGCGTTCGCCTTGCACGTGGCCAACCCGGGTTTGATTCCCAGCATCCCACATGGTCCCCCCGAGCACTGCTATGAGTAATTCCTGAGTGCAGAGCCAGGAGTAACCCATGTGCATCACCGGGTGTGACCCAAAAAGAAAAGAAAAAAGGAGAGAAGGAAGGTGAGGCTGGGCACAGACTAAGTCGGAGATCTTAGCCTCACGCTTTGCTGTAAAAGGGAGCAGGGAAGGATGTCAGGTGGGAAGCTTCTGTAGGGTGAGTAGACAGCTCTTTGAAAGGGAGAGTGACAGGGCATCTTTTACAGTGGTGCGGGTGACCCAGCACATAGGCCACACCCAGGAGAGTGCACAAGGAGACGCTGCATTGGCAGGGAGAGGCAGGGGCAGGAGGGCTGGGTGGGCATGGGGTGGGGAGGGGAGAATTTCTTGCTAGGTTGCGCTACTTTCTGGATGCAATGGATCCCCATGGGTCAGGCACTGGAATCCCAAAGGGGTGGAGGTGGTGTGGGCACTGAGCTTTGAAGGGAGAGAAGTGCAACAGTCACTGTCACCTTGGAGCGTGGGGACACCAGCACATGGGGTTCAGAGGTGTGATAAAGATGGCTGTGCAGACTCAGGGCCCACTCAGTCCTTTCTGGTTTGAAGCATATGTTTGGGGACTTTTCTCCAGCAATCCAGCTGTTTGGGTCACTGTCACTGTTACTGTCCTCCTGTTGTTCATCGATTTGCTCAAGCGGGCCCAGTAACGTCTCCATTGTAAGACTTGTTGTTACTGTGTTTGGCATATAGAAGACGTCACGGGGAGCTTTCCAGGTTTTGCTGCGCAGGCGAGATACTCTCGGTAGCTTGCTGGGCTCTCCGAGAGGGGCGGAGAAATCCAACCTGGCTGGCTGTGCACAAGGCAAATGCCCTACCGCTGGGCTATTGTTCCAGCCCTGGCTGTTTGGGTACCAGGTAAAAATATAGGAAATATAAAAAATATATGTTTTGTGAGATTGGAGGAGGCTCGAACCACACCTGGAAGTGCTCAGAGATCGCTCCTGGCAGAGCTCAGGGGACCCTATGTGATGCTGGGAATTGAACCCAGGTTTGACTATACGCAAAGCAAGTGCCTTCATTAACCCCTGTACTGTCTCTGGCCCCCAAATCTCTTTCTCCCACATCCCCCCCCCCCAGGTTTTCTATGGTTCTGAACAAAGAAAGACAAAAGTATGAGTTGCAGAAAGCCTTTAATGATAATTGTATTGTTTACAACATGCATAATTTCACACCTGATGTTAATACACTATAATTTCAGAGTAAATGCTTGCAAATTCATTTGCTTCTACAGTTATTCCTATTGCTTGAGTTAAAATGAATGAAACTGAAACAGCAACAGCTCTTCTAATCCTTCTTTATATTTCTTCATGATCAGCACGATGCATAAGAGCTTTTAAAGGCCCACAATATATGTCCATTGTGAATTTATTTTTAAAACTGCACAAAAGCAACTTTTAAAAAAAATCCTTCCATTATAATGAAGCCCTAATGATTTCCTCAAAACAAATTTTCCTGCACAGCAGCTATAGAAAATGCTCATGAAATACCTGGAGGCAGAAGAGATTTGGCCTGACTCGCTTATTTCTAAGGCAACACCTTAGATCTTTTTATTTTATTTATTTACTTATTTGCTTTTAGGGTCACAGCCAGAGATGCTCAGGGGTCACTCCTGGCTCTGCACTCAGGAATCACTCCTGGCGGTGCTCAGGGGACCATATGGGATGCTGGGAATCGAAGCCGGGTAGGCCGTGTGCAAGGCAAACACTCTACCTGCTGTGCTATCACTCCAGTTCCCACCTTAGATATTTTTAAAGAAACAGTTTTAATCACAGCTCACACTTCATGAAAACAAAATTCTTAATTAATTAAGGTTGTCTCCATTTTTAGCCATTTGACATTGTGGCTCCTTTAACATTTGTTTTGTTTTGTTTGTGTTATTTCATGAAGAACTCAATGCACACTGGAGATGTATTAGACAGCCAAGGTATGGGGAAAATTCATGAGCATTTGTTCCACTAGCAAATGGAAAATTTGGTAAGTTTAATATAAAACAATAAACACATTTGTAAACATTCACCTCCTAGATGAAAACTCACATTTTGCTCCTGCTTTTATAAAACCACTATGTGTTAGAAAAAACTGGCAGTGTGATCTTTCACTGAATGACTACCCTCTCAAGATATAAAAAAAGACAAAATGAGCTGAAGCTAGAACATTCCAGAGCTAGACGCGACAACCCCGCACATACTCAGACAGATTTTTGTTCTGACAGCGGTTTCTCCATGCCACCCTGGAAAGAAAGGGAAGAGAGTGAAAAGCTTAAAGCAACTTCCTTGTCAGATATCTGCTTCACATCATTTGCAAGAATGAAATACTTCATCAGTAAATACAGCACAGGCTACAGCTAGGTTCTGGGATGGATAATCCTAAATGGAGCTAGCAACACTAAATATTTTGTTTGTCCCCCAAACCGTCCCTTGAGCATATAGAACACCGATCAGAAACTCTGAGTGCTGAAGCAGCACAACAGGACAGGGGTTAAGGTGCTTGCCTGGCATGTGATCACTCATTTTGATCCCCAGCACTCTATATGGTCCCCCAAGTGGTACCAGGAGTCATCACTAATCCAAGAGTAGCCTCTGAGCACTCCTGAGTATGAACCTCCAAAACACACTGAGTGTTTTGTTAGCCTTGGGGGCCATACCTGAAAGTGCTCAGAGCTTACTCCTGGCTCTGCACTCAGGAATAACCCCTGGTAGGACTCAGAGAACCATATGGGGTGCGACAGTTCAAACCTGGGTGCAAGACAAATGCCCTACCCACTGCACTATTGCTCCAGCCTAAAACACATTGTTAGAGTCTTTCCACAACCACGACAAAGTACATTCCACCCTTCAAGGCATGACTGGTAGAGTACGGAAAATATTAAACACTCTAGAAATCCCCTCAACAAATTGAGTAGTAAAAGGAGGAAGATTCTTAATGTAGGAAACACTTGGGTTATTTCTAGGTATTTTTTTGCAGAGGACTAACACTGCACTTTTCAGTTCTCAGTCGATTACTTTGGTCTCTGAAAATCTCTCACAATAGGTGGGTAAAATAACTTTCCCTGTTCAGGCTTAGCACGTACCAGGCTCGAATGCCTTGTGGGTCCCTGACGACTCTCTTTGCACATTGTACAGCTTGAGTGATGTCGTCTTTCAGCAAATCTGAAAAAGAAGTGGTGAAAAATGAAAACAGCTTCCACAGAAACTTCACTCAGGTTTAGGCAGCATTGTTCTTTTCATCTATGGGAAGAACAGTCCAAGGATTTTCCAAGAGTTTTCATGAATGTGGATCTTGGGGAAGATTTTTTCCCCCTTCATTTCATCCCATTTCGCATGAAATGAAGCATTTTATTTCATTTACCGGAGTTAATGGAATTCTTAACTAATATGATGGAAGGCTCTATCCAAAATAAACAGTGTTAAAAAAGAAAAGAAAAAAAGATCCCAAGCAATCTTCTTTTATCCAGTGATGCGTCAGAAATTATTCATGGCTCTTTTGTTTTGAGGCCACACCTGGCGATGCTCAGGGCTTATTCTGGATCTGAGCTCAGGGATCACTCCTGCTGGTGCTCAAGGAACCATATGTAGAGCTGCAGATCAAATTAGAGTCAGCATATGCAAGAGAAGCAGCTTAACTGCAGTACTATTTCTCTGGCCCCCTATGCCCCAATTTTTTAAACCAGTAATTCCACTACTAGAACTTTATCCTAATGAAATAATAATAAAGTTACCCCAAAATATTTGTCACATATGAATAAAAGGATTTCATGGCAGTTGACAAAAGGAAAAAGAAATAGAATAACCTAAGCGCTGGAAAAGTGGAATTTTACTTGTCCTTTAAAAACAATCCAGGGCCTAGAGGGCTGGCTCTCCATGAGCACATCTCTGCATGTGAGAGGTCTGGGTTTAACACCAGCATATATGGTGCCCTAAGCATGACTGGGAGTGACCTCTGAGCACAGAGCAGGGAGTAGTCCACAAGCTGGGTGTAGCCTAGACTCAAAAAAATTTTTTTAAACATTAGTAATTCTGAAATGCTTCTTCAATACTTTTGTATTGAATATTCCATATACCATTTTTACTTTACATAAATTCAATGGAGTATTTGTCCCTGTTAGACAAATCAATAATTAATTTATTGAGTATAGCTGTGACTATATAAAAATTAAACTTTTCAGAGATAGAAACCAAAGAACTTGGAGGTGAAGTGTCATGCTCTTAATTCACTTTAAAGCTACTACAGAAAAAAAAAAAGTAAATATGATAAAATGTTGACAACTGTTAAAGTGTGTAATGGGACATAAGACTGCTTATTATACAAATGTTACCAATTTTCTAAGCTACCCGTGATGTATTCGATATGCCAAACACAATAACAACAAGTCTCACAATGGAGAGGTTACTGGGCCCGCTCAAGCAAAGGACAGTGCTACAGTGCTATCAATTTTCTATTATATATTTAGAACATTTCATAATAAAAATAAAATTGAATTATCCCTAAACCTCTCCAAAATAAGCAGAGAAAGGCAGTGTTGTGGACAAACATCCAGAAGTCCATTTACCACTCATGAGAGGAGCATTCTAGAAACTTGCATACTATCAGTGGCCACCTTTTATCATGCTAGCTCTTTGATTTCTTAATTAGGTGATTGGGGAGAGGATGAAGAGTTTCTAAAGGTGCTGCTGGAGTTTTTCTAGGTCAAGGCCTTTTCATTTCTGTGAATCTTAATTCTTGAGAGTGGTACCGAATGGAGCCCACCACCCACACACGGGCCAGGTCTCACCGCTGCAGGAGATGCCACAGGCGTTCTTGGCCCCAGGGGTCTTGCCATCGTTACACCAATAGCGACTGTTGATCTGAAATATCCCATAGTCAGTGCTCCTGCTTCCAGGGTTGAAGTTTGTGGCTCGGGTGTTGTAACCACTTTCCCATCTGGCCAAACACATCCCTGAAAAAGAATTTGCTTTCAGTCAGAAACGGCAACACCTTATGGCCTCTACAGAGTACCGTATAGCCAGTTTGACCTAGGTCATTATGACTTATGGCAAGGCTGCCTCCTCCGGCTCTAACACCCAACCATCCACCCAGCTAGCTGAAAATCCCTGGGAGCGCCTGCCCGTCCTCCTCTTTCTCAAATCTCAGGTCAGAAAAGGGGACTGAATAAAGAAAAATATTCTATCACTCTAGGCACATGGAACCCAAAGTCCCAAAAAGGAAAAGTCTGGATTCAAGCACCAAGGACTCGATAGAGAGAGATCTCAGGTCCTCAAACGCACCTTTTAATCATCCTACAGTTGCCAGAGTCTCAGGTATCTGGCAGACTTCATGACACTAGAAGAGTACAAAGGCTCCAGTTTACCTTGAAATGGAATAGCATTTTGCCCTCTCACACTCTCATTTCTTTATGTGCATATCTGATGCTAAGTAAAAGAAGTTGGTTTTGTTCATGGATGTTCTTTGTTTTAGGGCGACATCCAGCAATGCCATGAGCTACTTCCGGCTCAGAGCTTAGGGGTCACTCCTCAGTGCTCAGAAGTTCATGTGATACCAAAACTGAATCCATGCCTCTTGCATACAAAGCTTACACCAGTCCTAGAGGTTGTTGTTTGTAACCATTATAAGTAAACAAACTCTTATTAAAGAAAATCCCTCTAGGGGCTGGAGAGATAGCATACCAAGTAAGGCGCTTGCTTTGCACACAGCAGATCAGGTAACCCATATAGTTCCCTGAGCACTGGCAGGAGTGACTCATGAGTGCAGAGCTGGGAATACGCCTTGAGCATCTAAAGATGTGCCCCCCCCTCCGCACTCCTCCAACCCCCATCACCCATAAAAAATGGCAAAACTAAAGAAATCCCTTTCAAAGTACATTTCTCCAAACCCCTTCCTCATTGTCCACTCTTTATTCCACACTTGGCCAACTCGTTGGACATCTGAATGAAGCAGAGTTGACTTACAATTTGCCAGGCTGACTCCCCGGTAGCCATCCATTCCAAGTCTTTTCAGAGTCCTGGCCAGCTCACACCGCTCAAAGACCTTGCCCTGGACAGTGACAGACAGGAGAACAAGCCCCAGAATGAGGAGAGCCTTCATCTTGGCAAGAAGTTAGACCTCTGGGCTGAGCTGGGTGAGTTGATCCCAGTATTTAACCTCTGTTTACTTCCTTTTTCTTTTAGCGGTTTCTGGACTCAACCCTTTGAGGTATGGAGAAAGCAGGAAGTGGCTGTTTGCCAGTCTACTTACTCAAAACGTTTTCTTTTTGTGTTAGAAGGGTTTTGGTTTTCGGGGGGAGTTGGTTTGTTTTGGGGTTACACCTGGCAGAGTGCATGGACTACTCCCAGCTCTGTGCTCAAAGATCATACCTGGCAGTGCTGACATTGAACCCCGGCCTCCTTTGTGCAAAGCATGTACCTTGCCTGTTGAACCATCTCTTCTAGTGAGGTCCTAAGGATAAAGTTATATATATATAAAAAATGATGGCATGACATTATTTGGCTAAGGGAGAACTGGGAAGTAGCACCATATCCCAAACAGGAGCGTTTCCCTCCTTTATTATGAATTTGAGCAACTGTTTAAAAAAAAAGATGAAATTTAACATATGCTAGTGAAAATGAGTTCACTTTTTTATGGGGGGGGTTGGGCTTGATGGGTTTGGTCTCCCTCTATCCAAAAGAAAATTTTTAAATTGTAAAACATAAGCTCTGAACCAGGGATGTGGCTCACTGACCTTCATGTTGTAAGGCCTAGGTTCAAATTCTGGCACCTCATGATCTCCAAGCACCAGCAGAAGCAACCCCCATGTATTGCTGGATTTGGCCCCAAACCAAAAACCATGACATGTAACTTCTGATTAACATTCATTTTGGGGTTTTTTTTTGGGAATGGGGGGGCACACCGAGCAGTGCTCAGGAGTATTGCTGGTGGTGCTCAGGACACCATATGGGATGCTGGGATCAAACCCGGAGCAACCACATGTAAGGCAAGGACCCTGCCCACTGTACTATCTCCCCAGTCCCTTAACATGCATTTTGATTAAAACTGGTTTGGATGCATTTGCTATGTTGTATTCCTATTCTCATTTTAAATTATTTTACCTCAACTTCCCACAGAAGATGCTACATTGCCTGTGGTTTTAATAGAGACAAAGAATGAAGCCCTGTTGCTCAATCAGATCCCTGCTATACCATTTTTGTTACATAATATGTGTTTTCTTTATACACCGATGCTTTCCTGCTATAAATAAGCCTCATGGAAGCAAAGTTCCTGACACCTTCCCAAAGGCTTCAGCTCACATTGCATGTGTTAGGCAGAGCATGTTGGTAACAGAATGTTTTAACGCCATGATAGTAAGAGAGTATGCCACCTCACAATCTGCCTCTTTGGTGCAGGATTAGTCTTAAACGGCGATGGAAAGGAACCAGAGAGAAAACTGGTACACAAAGAGCCTTGCACATGCTTGGCTCTGGGTTCGCTCTCCTGTACCACATGCTCCCCAGTACAGCTTTCTGTGGTCCTGGTGGCTGCCAGCATCGGCTTGCTGGACCATCACCCACATGAGCTGAGTACTGCTGGGAGGGAACCAGTCTTCCTGTAACACTGCTGGGGAATCCCCATCATAAGGAAGCTGATAGAAGGGAAAGTCCACATTTTGTCCCCTACTTGTCTGAAATCAAAATAGAAATTTGTGCAGAAGTTTGCCATTGAAGACCTAGATGCATATCAGTCCCAAGAGGGCTCCAGAACACTTTACATAGCTTCACTCTTTTATTAATCTCTGTTCCCACACCTTCTCACTGTGGGCTGCCCTTGGGAGCGCCACACGAATATGCCTGTCAGTGCTTATTCTGATGGATTACAATGGAGTTATTATTCCTATTTGTTTCTCCTGATAGAGAAAAGATCATTATTTATGGCATGTGGGTGGGGGGGGGGAGGGCACCTGCAGGCTCTGAAAAGAGAAGTTCATTAAAGCTCTAAGACTTTTGATTGTTTCCCAAAACTAAAACCATCCCTCAACCACCAGGAGTGATCCCTGAGAGCAAAGCCAGGTGTATTCCTTGAGCACCTCCAGATGTTACCCAAAAAACAAAACCAGAGCAAAACAGGGGATGGAGAGAGAGACAGCAGGATAGATGCCTGTCTTGCACGTGGCCATCACCACAGGTTTCATTCCCATCACCACATACAGTCCCCTGAGCACCAGGACTCGTCACTGAAATAAGCTGAGTACAGCCAACTGTGGCCCCCCCACCCCCAGAGCAAATCAAAGCAAAACAACAAAAAGCCAAATGGGGTTTTGCCCTGGAACCTGGAAAATACTAGGTAAAAATTGTGGGGCCAGGGAGATAGAACAAAGGGTAGGATGCAGCTTTGCACTCAGACAACCTGGGTTCCATCCCTAGCACCCAGGTGGTCTCCAAAGTCTGCCACAGGGATCTGTGAGCGAATCACCAGGAGAGAGCTCTGAGCACAGCGGGGCAAGCCCCAAATGGAGGTGTGTGATTACTCAAACCTCCCTCCCCCCGCCCGCCACACACACACACACACACACACACACACACACACACACACACACACACACACACAGTAACTCTGAAGACAGGCTGCTGTGAAGCTACCCTAGAAGCAGAGAGGCTGGTGTGAAGTCTGTAAGGAGTGCAATTGAAACTTCAGATTTTCTCTCCCAAACTGTAAACCTGATCTCGGCCTCTTTGTCAACTCAGTGGAATGGGAGAACTGTCTTCGGGGAGGAAGAGCCAGAGAAACTGGATTTGGGACTAAAGGTGGGGAACAATGTTACAATGAAAATCGAAATATTAGCAAAAGTTCGAAGCAGTCGGCCAGTCTGCTTTAGCTGCCAGCTTGTTCCTCTTGAGATCCTTGGTTTCTGGCCACCAAAAGTCCTTCACAGGTGGGAGCTGGTGAGATTTCTCTTTCATGAGCACCGACCGACCCACCGTCTTGAGATCCTTGCCCAATTGTCTGTGGCAAGTCCCCCTTAACGTCACAGATTTGCCATCAAAATATTACATATCCCTGCAATCAGCAAAGATTGCCAGATGGCTGGTGAAAACCACTTATGTGAAATATTCAAAATGAACCCTTAGAGAAGAGGAAGATAGAAAAAAAAAAACAAATAAAGCATCAATTATAATGAACTGTTCAGATTATCTGGGGGAAATACCATGTCCCGGAATAAGTACGGGTGCTATAATTAGTAATCCAGGATGCAAATGTCCATGCGATTTAAAACCAAGATCCTATTTGGGACAGAGAGAGCTCAACAGGCTGAGCACGTGCTTTGCATATGGGAGTCCTGTGTTCAGTTCTCGAAACCTCAGAACCCCCGAGTGCCACTGCCAAGCACAGAGCAGGGAATCACTCCATGCACTGCTGGGTGTGGCCCAAAAACAAAAGCATGTTTCATTTTAAAACCAATTGTGAGGCCAGAATGACAGTATAGCAAATATGGTGCTTGCCTTGCATGAGGCAGACCTGGTTTCGATCTCAGCATCCCAAATGGTTCCCTCAGCACCATTAGGAATAATTCCTGAGTGCAGAGCCAGGAGTAACCTCTGAGCTCTGCTGGGTTACTCCTGCAAATGAGTAAAAAAAAAAAAAAAAAAAAAAAAAAAAAAAAAAAAAATCAAAACTAATTGTAAAAAAAAAAAAAACCATTTGCAAAATGTACCCAGAAATAAAATCAGAAGATAGATGGAAACACAAGAAAAGATAAAAAATTTATAAAGAGATCAAATATCAAATTTACAGAGATTCTTGAAACAAAGTACAGATGTAAAGGAACCATAAAATCAAACAAAAATGAAAGGACATAGTTTTCCATATCAAAAGTACCTGGCAAATGGTACAGAATAAAATCCAGACAGATATACCTCATGACATTTTAAAGGCCAGAGATAAAGAAAAAGAATCATTTTTCAGATAATAATGTACAACCTAAACTCTAGTCAAACAATGAAGTGTGAGAAGAGAAAAGGATAAATTATATAAGTAATAAACAATTTTTCTCTGTGTGTTTTATTTTAGACAGAGTTGCACGGGGGGCTCCCCTGGGGAAAACTAAAGTAGAGCTGATCTGGCATGTGTGTCCTGTTGAACAGGGTTGACAATTCTGGGTGAGACTCTGAGTAAAAAAATACACGAGTACAGCCAGAGTGATTGCACAGGGGTTAAGGCACTTGTCTTCCATGCAGCCAAGCCTCGTTCAATTTCCAGCCTGGAATATGGTCCCCTGAGCAATGACAGGAGTGGCCCCCGAGCAAAGCATCAGAAGTAAGCCCTGAGCACTGCTGAGTGTGGTCCAACCCTCCATCTAACACCCTCCCCACACACACACACCAGCGCCCTTCCCTCAAAAGTTCATGAGTAAGTATATGGAAAACTGAGAACAGAAACAAAATCTGGTTTTCCTATCCTGTTGTGATCATCTCTGTCTGCTTATAGAGAAGATCCACAAGTGCAGAGTGGTGGTGGGGGCGGGGGGTAGAGAAAAGGAGTTTAATATGAATTTTCACTGACCTTCATGAGTTTCACTAAAATAGCATCAAACTACATTTAAAAAAAAAAGATCATGCCGGAGAGCCGCTCGTGGGGGGCAGCCGGTGACCCCGGAGGCACAAGGACTTAGCACAGAGAACCAGCCGCTTGGAGCAGAAAAGCAAATGGACTATGTGTTAAACTGCGCCACCAAGCCTGCCCGGAGGGGAAAGGGTGTTGTCCCGCTCGCCTGCTCCTCTCTGGAAAGAAAGATGGCGGCCGCTCGGGAGCCTTGTGGACAGCAGGTCTGAGCCGGGGGCGGGGGGCAGCGGGGGCCTCATGGGAAGGGGGGCGTTCTGGGCCGTCCTTCACACCCGACCGAGGTCACTGGCTGCCCCCCACGAGCGGCTCTCCGGCACAGCCATGGCCCCGGAGGCACAAGGACTTAGCACAGAGAACCAGCCGCTTGGAGCAACAAAGCAAATGGACTATGTGTTAAACCACGCCACCAAGCCTGCCCGGAGGGGAAAGGGTGTTGTCCCGCTCGCCTGCTCCTCTCTGGAAAGAAAGATGGTGGCCACACGGGAGCCTTGTGGACAGCAGGTCTGAGCCGGGGGCGGGGGGGCAGCGGGGGCCTCATGGGAAGGGGGGCGTTCTGGGCCGTCCTTCACGCCCGACCGAGGTCACCGGCTACCCCCCACGAGCGGCTCTCCGGCACGGCCACGGCTCCAGAGCACTGAAACCAATCTCTTAACTATCTAACTTTTAATAGAAATACTTCCAGGGTTAATAAGTGAAACAGCAGAAATCCAAAACCAACATCATTTTATTATTAAACCAAGCTGTAGAAAGCAAATCTTTTCACAACGCTG